GAACCTATATCTTCTAGATATAGCTAGAGCTGGGCATTTACAGAGAAAATGTATTATTGTTTCTTTCTCCTGCGGGTTTCTACAACTTCTGCAGTGAGAGTTATGGGGAATATGCAGTTTCTCTGCGTGAGTTCCTATACACCAATGACCAGTAAGAACTGCAATAAGCCTTGCAGTGTTTACGCGATCTCTTTTGTTCAGTCGTATTAGCAGTCATTTATATTTTTACAAATACATTTGGTATATAAAAGTGATATATTCACTTTTTTCCATTTTCGTAAAATTTCACGAGGTTGTCTGCTTTGAACGGCTAACAAACAACAACTGAATGACGTAGCTTGCTCAAAATTAATAAGTTGCTCACTGGTAGATTACAGCTGACGACAGCACTGTTGCATTTTGAGTAACTGCGCTGGAAACTCAAGAAGTCACTGACTTATCAAACCGCCCTCGTATATTAATCTCGAGTGTTATACATTTAGCCCCAGATTTAACAATCGAAAATTAAAATTTCACTAAAAGTTCATTAAAAAAGAATCTCGATTGAAAAAATTACTCGATATTTACGAATCGAAAACGCTATAAATGTATCCATTGCGACTATAACTGTTTATAACTGTCAAAGGAGTACTCAAATCTTTAAAAAAAAAAATGTAGTTTAAACTATACCTGATCTACGAAAGAGTACAGCAAAGAATACAGAATGTTTTTTTGTTTAGGTGAGAAGGTTATTCCGGAGATCCTTAGGACCCACTTGGGTCTATTGTGTTAACGTATATAAAGTTAAAAATTTAAAAACCACCTTGTACGTTTGACAAAGTCTAATATGCTCATAAAAGGGAAGACCTGACCAAGATTCTTAACAACGTAATCAACGCTCCTCATATGTTGGACCGTAAACGAAAGTGAAGTATTTTCATCATCCTCCCAACAACTTCGCAGGACTGATTAAGCGGGTGATTCAATGTTTTAGTATGATTTTCATTCTTTTGTTGTTAAATTAAAATTAAATTAAATACATAGGATGAGTATAATAAAGTGATTATAGCTTGAACATCCGGTAAATCCGGTATTCTGTATTTTTGAATTGATTAGGGTTAGCAGTAACAAGGTAGCTTATTAGCTTGCTGGGCTAAGCAATGTGGGCTCACAGACGGAATATTGCATCCAAAACAAGTTTACAAGATGAAGTTGTCTAAGGATTATAACTGTTGTAAATATATTATATCAAGCTATGTGTATTTATAAAATGTTAGAAAATTTGATTTATTTTTGGGAAGCTATGAAAAAATAAGCCAACAAGGTGTTTTAATTTTCACGAATTAGAAACAACAATGTGAATAACTTGATTAAAGTTTTTTATTTATAGTAGTAATTAAACGGTTTCTTCTAATGAATTCTTAATGATCGGGGTAAGAAGAAAATGTTGTTATCGTTTGTTCTCTCATTGTCCGGAACTCGTGAGATAATTCATATTATTGCTGGGTTCAAAAGAAGGAGTAGCAATGTTAATCGTCTGCTGTGTGACTGTTCGACACTCGATAAAAGATAAAGGTTCGTGTCCACTTTGGGATCTTCAAATGATAATTCAATACTTTGATTATGGGCATTGAAGAGATAGCTTGTTTTATTAATACGACAAACTGATTTATGGGGCGGAAATACGAATATTTTTGCTAAAGTTTGCTAGAACAATTTGTCCATTGGAACAAATTAAAATTTGTTTTATATTTTTGTATCTGTTTTACATTTTATTTGAAATTTTAGAGAAATTTTAGAACTTTTAGAGCTTCACGAAGCCGTGCTTTTTGCTAGAAGTGCTCCCACTTATATATATACTTCACTTATAAATATTATATTTATGATTTCATGTTAATAATAAAAATTAAACTTACTTGCAAATGCGTCAATCCTACAACATTATCAGTTATCAGTTTAAGCCATTGACTTAAAATAGCCAAATCATCACAGTGTATAATACCAGTCGTAGTGCCATTTAGACCGCGCACTTCGAACGCATTCTGGCGCAGTTTATCGGTCCCGTAAATATAACGCGTAACATAAGCCATCATAAGTGGAACTGCAATGACCAAATACGATAAAAGCTCGTACACTTGAGTAATAAAATATTAAATATTAAAACCAATTAGTTTTACCTGCCACCACGTCCACCCATTTCTTTTCAGGTTCAGAGCAAATTGACATTGGCCGACTACAACTGCGGCTTATTGTGCCATTATTTATCGAAGATTTGTAACCTTCGTCAGCCTTTAATTCAGCACATGTTGCATCATTGTCGGAGTCGGGTGTGTCCTTTGTAACTGGAAGCATATGAAATAATAACATTAAAAAACTGAACGGATTTAAAATGATTTGCAAAAGTATGGGAGTTGCATATGTTAATATTCTTAAAAGTTTAAAGGAAGATAAAATAAAAGAATTTGTTGGAATATGAAATTTTTAAAAGCTATGTAAAGTAACAAAAAATAGTCAGAGAATTTTAAATCCAAAAGATAAAAAGGCTTAAATATAAGCATGAGTGCATGTGGTTAAGTAGAGTATGCATTTGCAATCCTTTTTATGGAAATTTCGCGGTAAATGCAGTTTTGTGTTTTTAGTTGAAAACATTTCAAAGGACTCTAACCATTAACGAAAACAAACTACAAACTTCAGATTTTAGTTTATTTGCATGAGTTTCTAGTTACATTTTATAGCCTTTAAGCTTAATTATTTTAATGTAAAATATTTCATAATGTACTCCATTAATTAAGTTAAAATCGGTTAATATTGTATTTAAATATTTCAACATTTTTTAATATTAAAATTTGGTTTTTTGCTTTTGTATCTGCATCAGTTTTACATTTTATTTCAGAAGAAACAAAATTTAATTTTTTTCACATAATTTTATGTAAAATTATGAAATTTTCCTTGTATTCCTGTCGAGGATATGAAAATTATAACAAAGTCACCGGAAGGTAAACATTTCAGATAACATGATTATTAAAGAGGTTCATTGTTTTGGGCTCTAGAGTGGAAAATGTGAATTTTTAAATGGTACGAATATTAAGCACTTCAGAGTTAAATTAAATTTGTGGAAATTGATGCATTAAAGGAATGAAAAATAAGATATTATGAATAAAATAATATATATATGTATATTATATATATAATATATATATATATAATATACATGTATATATGTACATATATATATAATATGTATGTATATTGTAAGATATTGAAAAATTTAATTAAAATATGAAATATGCAGGCAGGAACATTTACTCAGTTAATAGTTGCAGTATCGACATATAGCATGTTCTATAGAAATGTACTCAAAAACAAACGCACCTCAAGTTTGGTTAGGTTCAAGTTATTGATCTTATTGGAGAACAATTGAGAATTTCATATATGTTATTCTGTGTGCTTGAATAGAACTCGTGAACGGTAAGGAGGTATCTGATAAGCTTGTTAAAATATGCTCTCAAAAATATTTGAACAATAGTAAGGAAATCAATATACTAAAAAAAACAAAATCTAAAAAAGAAAGGGTTTAAACCGCTTAAAGTTACCATGTTTAATGTAGACTCTCATTGAATAGGCTACAAGATTATGTTTGCTGGGCTGCTAAAATATTTTTTAATGATGGTCTATATCTTCAAGTAATACTTGGTCGATGATAATAGTTCAGACAGATGCAACATATCTTCAAAATAAGCACTTAGAAAGTGCTTTCGCGTGTACACATAAGAATTACTAACTATTACAGTATATGATTAGAATAGGTTAAAGAAATA